ACATAAAGTAAACATTAAATTCCGACGAGAGGGAGAAGGGGATGAGGACATCAGCTCCAGCCTCTAAATCTCGCTCGACAGCGTGTCCCCGACAAAACGGCACACGCACGGTCACAGCGGACAGCTCGATTTTGACAATGACGTGTATCTTCATCAACACCGCCCTTATCATTATTCAAAGCGTGTGTATACATTTTTTTTGGGGGGGGTGGGAACACCCTCTATTTGTTCATTCACAGTGAGATATAACAGAAATAAAGAATTCCATAGGTGGATTGAAAAGCAGAATAGATAAATTCAAGATAGAGGAGCGGGTCTGGGGACAGAAGGAAGGCCAGTAGAATTGCATCTAGATTGCAGCACAGGGAATAACCAATACATTGAAAACACAGAAGAGAGCATGAGAGGGACAGGGGGGCCCGGGGACACCCCTGACGAAGCTGCAATTAGGGGCCCAAAGGGAGAGGGGAGAGAAAGCGGGGCCCAAGCTAAACGGACAAAGATGTGCCGCCGCTGACTCAGAAACTCCTGCAAAAACCCCAAACAGCTTCCATATATATATATTAAAAAAATCCAGGCACGTTGTCGACCCACTGCTGGAAACCAGAGGGAAAGAGAAACATCTTCAAGGAAAAAAATCAAAGTGCCGTCACACGGCAACAGTAAGATCGGGTTGATATTTCACCGGAACAGGGGAAGCAGAGACAGCGGGACGACAGTGAGACGTGCCAGGTCACCGTCAGCGCCAGCGCCTCACTCAGGGACAGGACCCTTCAAGGGTGAACGCGAAATAAAGATGTTTTCAGACGGAGAGAAAAAAAAGGACGACTGAATTCGCCGCCGGCAAACCGGCACTGAGAGAGAGAGACGCAGACGTGGTCAGACGGCGAACAGGGAAAGCAATCGCAGGCGGGACACGGAAACATAAACACGTGGACAGACCTGAACCCGCTGCCGGCGTGAGACAGAGAACGCGGTGCCGTGGAGTTTACACGTCAACCGTGTGATGCACGAGCGTGAGGGCAGGGGAGCGCGGGCGGAGGGTGGAGTGTTGGGTCTGCGCGCTGTGCGGGGAAATAGCACAAGTGCTCGTTGATCTTAGACTCTGATAAGCCAGGAATGCAACGAGCTGATAGAGGGGCAATATTTATTACTTATTTTTTCAATATATTTTAATTTATTTCAGAGAGGGAGAGAGAGAGAGAAATATCAATGATGAGAGAGAATCACTGATTGGCTGCCTCCTGCATGCCGCGTACTGGGGGGGATCGAGCCCACAACCCAGGCATGTGCCCTTGACCGGAATCGAACCTGGGACCCTTCAGTCTGCAGTCCAATGCACTATCCCAGGGGTCCTCAACCTACGGCCCGCGGGCCACATGCAAATACAAATATTGTATTTGTTCCTGTTTTGTTTTTTTTACTTCAAAATAAGATACGTGCCGTGTGCATAGGAATTTGTTCATAGTATTTTTTTTAAACTATAGTCCGGCCCTCCAACCGTCTGAGGGACAGTGAACTGGCCCCCTGTTTAAAAAGTTTGAGGACCCCTGCTCTATCCACTGAGACAGACCAGTTAGGGCGAGGGGCAATATTTAATTCAAAAAAGAGGCAGGAAAAGACAGGAAGAGGCACACAGAACAGCCAGATGCTGGTGTTTAACCCAGAGACACCGCCAGTACCTGCAGGGCACAGAGGCCGGGCATTCATCTGCTTCAGCGCCGCCCAGTGGCCGACGGACAAGGGGAGGCGGGCTGTGCACGTGTAGAAGACACCACTTTCCTTAGCAAAATGAGAAGTGAGACCAAGGCCCCCCCGAAATGAGAGCCCTCGCAGCGCCCACTAACGCAGAGCAGAAACCCCCTCCCAAGCCAGCGGAATTTCTTTACGTCTCTTTGTTAATCCTCACCCGGGGATATTTTTCCGTGGATTCTTTTTAGAGAGACTGGAAGGGAGGGGGAGAGATAGAGAGAGAAACATGGATGTGAGAGAGACACATCGACCGGTTGCCTCCTGCACCAGCCCTGCCCAGGGCTGGGGGTCGAGCCTGCAACAGAGAGGTACGTGCCCTTGACCAGCATCGAACCCGGGACCCTTCAGTGTGTGGGCCGACACTCTATCCACTGAGCCACCCTGGCCAGGGCCTGAGTCCGCTGTTTTCCCCGATTCCGCTCCCCTAAACATAAGACTCCGAGCCCCATAATCGCTGCCTCCGCCGAGGCGTCCCTCCGCGGGGCTGCGTTTATGTTAACTTTTCTTGGCCTCAGCAATGTTTATTCTTCCCGAGTCCCGAGGAGAAGCTGGCTGTGTCTTGCCCCACAGCCCTTAATCCTGATGAGCCCCTCTTTTCAAACAGTTGACGTCAACCCTGCCATTCTGGAGAGACTCCGCAGCGCAGCCCAGGACTGAAATGCCGGCCCTCAAGTTGGACTTTTGTAAAAAAAAAAATAAATAAATAACAGAGAGGCCCTAGCTGGTGTGGCTCAGTGGATAGAGCGTCGGCCTGCGGACTGAAGGGTCCTGGGTTCGATTCCGGTCAAGAGCACATGCCCGGGTTGCGGGCTTAGTCCCCAGTGTGGGGCGTGCGGGAGGTGGCCGATCCGTGATTGTCTCTCATCATTGATGTTTCTGTCTCTCCCTCCCTCTCTGAAATCAATAATAATAATATTAATAATAATAATAAACTAGATATATCTATAGTTTTAAAAAAGAATGGGGTTCTAGGGCTTATACTCTGAGCACAGGACACCCTAGCAGCCAACCGACTCTGGTGGGGGGAGGGCTTTAATTTAGCCCCAACCCCACACACGTGGAAGGCGTCCCAGCTGCTCCTTTAACACATGCAAATGCACCGACAGTAGCTGGCACTAAAATTAAACCCACCTCAAACGCACCCCACCAGGGGATGACTATTCAAACATCTGCTTGGATAAACTCCCTATTTCAAACACTGAAAAAAAATTATATATGTATAGTTTGGGGAACTTTTAAGGGGCTTGCGAGAGAGCAAGCCTGACGAGCCGTAAGACAGCACGCCGTCTGCTCTCAGCTCTCACCGGACAGGTCACAGCAGGGACACCAGCCCTGACACCGAACGGAGAAACGAGACTCACACCATCTCAGGGAGATGTGACCAAGCCGTGGAGCCCGGCACCAGGCAGGGGTTCTACGCCCCATTCGGCTGGGACTTCACTCCCCTCCTGAGTTAGGGCCAAGCCCCTCTTCACACCCACACGGACCCTTTCAGCTCTAGGTCACTGCTCCTCATCACCGGGCACGCTGTTGCCACCGCAGGACCTCGGGTCCCTCTTCGTGCAATGGGGATACCCTCCGTGCCCAGCAGCATGTGAGGGCGGCGTGAAGGGGCCAGGGGGGGCGGGGGAGGCAGGTGGCAC